TGAAGAATGTCTCTACTTTAGAAAATTATTTTTTATAAATATATGTAAGTTTTTCGCACCCAATGCAAAAATTGAAATACTCTAGGAGTTCCAAACAACTGTTCGGCCCATTCGTCGGGATAATTGTTCACTACCTGCTCTGCATGTATCCAGTTTTTGGGTGCGGTCTTAAAGTAAAAAAGCAATTTCAAAATCTTCTGAAAATGTATGTCGTATAATCAAGCAAATACTAAAATAAATGCCTTGCCCCACTGTATATATTCGTATATATATATTACAGCCAGAACAAAAATAATTGTGCCGGGGGCTTTCCCGTTATAAGTGATTTTCAAATAAATTTGTTTTCTACAACGAAATCTTTAGATGCAGTCCAGACGCGAGAGTTAAGCAAATACAGATTCTGGCTTACTTACTTTGTTGTAGTACACAAGGTAAATAAACAAATTAAAACGTAAATTATGGTTAAGTTAAAACGTATTATTTTCGGGCCATAAAATGTATGCGGTCATGTGCATTTGATATTCAAATAGTCTATTTGACATTGACTGCCAATGTGTGTTGTTGTGATTTTGTATTTGTCACTTGAACAAAATAACACGAGTATGAATTCGAGTGGAACTTGGTTGAGTTCATTTCTTAATGTGTTAGAAAAAAATAAGCATGGGTTAACAATTCAAATAACTAGGTTCACGTTTTCTCTTATGGGATACCATATTGCCATTACAGGTCATCAGGGGCTTACCAAAAGCTAAGGTGATTCGATGCAATTTTGTAAAACATGCATTCGCTTACAATTAAATTAACTTTCATGAAAAAAAGCATTATTTACTTTTTAGTAACTTAAGAAGTAAACAAATAGTAAGTTCGGCCGGGACGAAGTTTTGATTCCCTCCCATGATATATACAAAGGCAGTTAGACTCTCATTATAAACTTCAAATACAAAATTTCTGACTATTCCGTTGAAAAAAAGGGGTGAAATGCTCAAAATGAGGTGGTACCGTTACATAACCGTTAGGAACATATAACAGCCTTTAAATTTTAACCAACTCTTCGAAAATGTGCAGAAAATCGCCGAAAAGCTTAAAACGAGGAGGTTCCATTTTATGGGGGCAATACGAAAAAGTTGGCCGATAAAGCCGTTCATGAATATACATACTTGGTTGCATGCATGGTACAATGAAGAGAAGGTAGGCCAACTTTGAAAAAATTGCAAGTATAGAGGTCTACCTGTTTGGCTTGTAATGTCAGAATTAGTATCAGAACAATAAAAAAAATCAAACAACTTGTTGCATTTATTTTGAATAAATAATTGAAAACCGCGAAAACTGAATGAAAGGTCAACACTTCTTTTCAAAACCATGTTCTATGTATCTCTAAAGGATTATTTGGCTACAAAAACTCTAGATTTTGTCGATGCATACTATGAAATAAACATTTTGAAAACATCCGAATTTGAATATTTTCTGAACAAGTTTTTTGTTACTTAAAAAAAAACACATACATAAACAAATAAAGATGACATATTAAGCCAAGAAAACAAAAAATTAAAATCATATGGTATCATAGCCCTACCTTGATATCATTGTACCATGCTTGGTTGGGTCTTAAATGATAACGGAATAATAAACATAATATACCTTCCATGGTAGAGGGTAAAAAAGTTTACAAATTATACTTTCTACTTCAAAAGGTGAAATATTAAAAGCATTGGAGAGCGTTTAATAATACCCATATTCCACCAACATTTCATCAATTGGAATTATAAATAGGAACAATATTCACCAAAATAGAAGAAACAAGTGGTATGATGGAATGTTGTTATCATGACTAATACTTATGTTGCAACGTATGCGAAGCTATTTTGTATATTAGTTACACAAAATGCACTGATTGATTTACTGAGGAAAATATTCAAAACAAAGCAACAATTTGTATATTTTTGATAGTTTTCAAAACGTCCAAAGTCGAAGCTTTTAAATGCCAGTACTTGAAATATTCAAATATTGTGTCCCATTTATTCCGATTTAAATATATAGCTAAGCCTTCCTATTTTACTTATTGAGATAGAAAGGTCCTAATAATATAGCGGATAATGAAACTGAATTTATTCCATTATTTAAACGTTACTTTTTGTCGAGATTTTTAATCAACGTCAAATATTTATAATTTTTTTTAATTTACCAAGAAATTATGTAACAGTACAGGTATTCAAGTTTTGGCACGTCAAAATACCGCTTCAGATGTGCTTTTTGCTTCTTTTTAGTGTGTCGTAACAAACACATACGTATATGCAAATAATCGCTTCACCTTCAAACAAGCTATTTACGAATAATCTGTTTTGAAAACCAAAACTATACACTACCCATTATTGGTTTTTAAAAATCGCTCCATTCTATTTTCACATGTGTGAGTCATTAGTGCCATTTATGCCAACGCTACGCTTAGATTTGTAAATGAAACAAAGTTTGAATTCATTTGAAAGTTGCGATATTCAAAAAGATCTGTCTACATTTCTATCAGAATGTTGTACGCAAATGTACAATAGAGAATAGTATCCAAAATGTTAATTGCTTTTTATACCCTCCACCATACTATGGAGGTTATATTAACTTTGTCATTCCGTTTGTAACTCCTCTAATCATGTTAGACCTAACAAAGTATATATATTCTTGATCAGCTTAAAATTCTATGTTGATTTTGCGACGTCCGTCTGTCTGTCTGTTGTAATCACGCTATCTTTCGAACGAAAAAATTTTGCAGACATGTTTATTTTGCCAGTAGGCAGGTTGAGTTCGTAAATGGGCCATGTAGGTCCCTGTTTTCATTAGCCCCCATATAACGGTACCTCCCGATATTCGGTTTTTGATGATTTTAGCGACATTATTTACCGGGATTGTTTCAAATTTGGTATTTGAAGTTCCAAAGGGATACTCCAGCCTAAGACAGAAAATTGTCTGTGCAGGTCCACGTCTTCGTATAGCCCACATATAACGGTAACTCCCGATATTCGGTTTTTGATGATTTTAGCGACGTTATTCACCGAAATCTCTTTCAAATTTGGTATTTGAAGTTCGTAATGGATATACAGCCTATAACACGTCTTTGCATAACACCCATACAACTGTACCTCCCTATGTACGGTATTTTAATGATTATAGCGACATTATTCACCGGAATGGTTTCAAATTTGGTATTTTAAGTTCGTATTGGATACTACAGCTTATGACAGAAAATTGTCTTTGCAGGTCCACGTTTTCGTATAGCCTCCATATAACGGTACCTTCCAAAATGCCGTATTTTGATGACTTCAGCGACATTATTCACCGGAATTGCTTCAAATTTGGTATTTGAAGTTCGTAATGGATACTACAGTCTAAGACAGAAAATTGTCTGTGCAGGTCCTCGTTTTGGTATAGCCACTGTACCTCCCTATATTCGGCATTTTGACGATTTTAGCTACATTATTCCCCATTTTTTTTTCAGCTTTCGCATTTTAATATTGTAATGGCTTATGACAAAGTTGCCTATGCAGGTCCGCGTCGTCGTACAGACCCTAATATAACGGCAACATTCAGTAGTTTTAAGATTTTAACAGAATTTTTATTTTTTTTTTTTATTTTCCAAATGTTGGAGGGTATTCAAAGTTCCGCTTGGCCGAACTTACAGCTTTTTTACTTGTTAAAGTAACCCTTTGTAATATTTTCCAATTCCAAACATTCACATTTTTGTATTATTTTTTAAACACACAAAAAAGGAATTGTTCAATTGACATTGTTGAAATTGTTTAAAATTGAAATTTCGTGGGCCCGACGTTACTGGGTAACTCTCATATAAATACATCTGTTTAAATTGTGTGGTGAAAAACGTCGCTTAAATATTTTTGGACGCTAAGGAAAAGTGGTATTGAATTTACATTATCTTGAACGTAGTAAGGTAAGCATGTTCCCATTGGTTAATAAGTTCTATTTAGGACTTATTAGACAGTTACAGTTTCTTAGAATTTGTTTTATCGAAACATATTTATTTGAAACATTTGGTTACAAAAAAAAATTAATACAAATCTTATTACCAATAAACAACTTAAATAATGCAGCAAAATTAATTTTTACAAAAAACTAATTATGAAAAGGAATCTAAAAAGCAAAAGCGTTACATTAATTTGTTTAGAAAGCTAACCAATCGCATTTGTTTAATTAAGAATCTAATATTAAAATAAATGAAATCCATTTTTCTATTAATGAGTATTTATTTAAAATTCGAATGGAAGAGAATAGTCGCTTTTACACACTCCATGGTGGATATGTACTTTGATTTCATGTTTCCGTTTGCAATCGATCGAAATAATCAGCTAGAAGATGGACTATGTTTCTTCACATTTACGAAATCTTCCAATTTAAGGTGTTTTTAAAGTTTTCACCTAATTTCATCGGCTCTACAAGTTTATATGTATTAACAATGTAGAATTACAGCTGATAGATGTGGATTTTACTCTTCTCTCTTCTAATATCGTAGACGCTGCAAACTACTTATAATTGGTTGTGGTCCACAGGAAAACGTAGGAATTTTATCGCTAATTTTTTGGGAAAGGGTTCGGTTCCTATTTAAAAATGTTAATATCTCAAGGAAGCGCTTTGTCTTTCCTTCAGCTTCTACTTTATAATCGGTGGTTATTTTCATGTAGCTAATTTTTGAGTGGTACAGTATAATAGTAAATATATTATTTACTCTAGGAAATGTTTGTATGCTCAGCATCTAATGGTTAACGTCATATTTTGTAGTTATTCGTTAATGTGGCCTCGGTTTGTTGCCTCTAATTTATATTGATTTTCATTCCTATTTTTTGTTAAGAATACATATTTATCTAGAGCTGCTGTGAAGAGCTCAGTGCCTTTTCCAAGCCATTTCTCAGTTGACTGGCTATGTAAACATAATTAAAATATTGCGCATATTAATAAGTATAATTAAGTGGCTGCTTTTTGTCTGTTTGGTTTATTTTTAGACATCTGAATTTTAGATCCACAGCATATTTGGATATTCACTGTTGCAAAGCAAAGGTAAGTTTGATTTGAATTAATGCTTAAATGATAAGGGCAATGAAGATACGTATAAAATAATACTCATTAAAGTTCATTCTTCCGGGAGTTTTACAATGTTTTCCTCAGCATATTGAATTGATATTTAAACGAAATTAAAAAATTTTGATTTTATTTGACACCTTAAAAAATTAAATTCTGAAATATTTGTTTCCATATTAAAGCGTTACCTAAATACCAAGTAAAATACATGTACAATACAATACAATAAGGAGCTAGAACAGCTTCCTAAAACTACAGAAATACATCTCTGAGGCTATGCCCGCTTCCTTTCAGACTTATTCAAAATTGTATACAAAAAGTCGTTTTCATTTTTTTTATATTTTTCTAGATTTTTAAAAAGAATTAAATAGCGCGAAAAATTAAATAAATGCCTGGATTTTCTCCTAATAATATGATCCAAACTGTTCAAGCTTTCAATTTCATGGCTAAACTGGTTAATAGCTTTAATGCGCGAGCCGCAATGTACGTGTCTTTCAATCGTTGGTTTTCCAAATATTTTCTTTTTATTTTTCAAAACAATAAATACATACACAAAATTGACAGAAATCGCCACATTTAGAAAAAAAAAATGTAATCAGGTGGTAGCTCTACCTTATATTTTTATTGTACCATGCATATATCTATATGAATGTTACCCAAATACGTCGGGCGTACAAAATTTCAAAGTTGAACATATTCAGCATTGACAATTGAATTTTTGTGGGATGAAAATCGGAATGTAAATGGCATATATAACAATTGGATGAATGTTAAAACCTATCAATCTTTACAACGTTATAAGTCGGTGGATTTTAAGGTTTGGACCTGGCGCATTTGGGTAATACGGACGTTTATAAGAATTTACCGCATTGGGAAAATTGAAGATTTGTCTACGCTGCGTCGAATTTTATGTAGCGCTTTTGCTCGCCATTTATCTAAATGACAGAGACCATGGACGAACGACCTTCAAGGGAGAAAGCTGTGTTATAAGTGTGGAGGCACAACAATTTCTTCAAAAACGTAACACTAAAAACGTAATACTATTTTGCAAATATAATCCAGTAATAGTCCGACATCCCATTTTGTTTTTTATGTCCGAAAAATATCAAATCCTGTCTTAAAATCTCTCTTGCAGCGATAAATAAGGACTTTAAAAAACCTAAACACTGAAACAACAAATAACACATAAATCAATACAGATTTCTTGGCAATTCAACCATGCCGGCGCCATAAAAACGAGCCAATTTTTGCTAATTGCGATCAAATCACCTTTCCCCAATGAATTTACATTATCTTGAACAATAGTGTCGATAACAGTGACCAGTAATGACGAATAAATAACACAGAAATTCACGTGAGCTAAGTAAAGCAACAATAATGCCCATAAACAATACAAGAGTGTGTCTGTAAGCCACATGTATATGATAGTCAAATCTAAATCTATTTTTATGATCTAGTAGTAACGTAGTAAGGCTTTAACTATAAATTAGTTGACAGTGCAGTTAATAGGTGATGAAGGCGCTGGCATTCCCATTTTTATATATTCGCTCTGTTTGAACGTTAAATCTGTGATTGCATTTCTTGTTGGTTGGTGTTTTACGTTAAGATAATTCTATGATGGAAAGATGTTAATTAAACAAGTTTGGTACTCAACTTTATCATGTCTTTATGTTTTTCAAATGTACGTTAGGTCATATTTTTCACATCACTCTTTACTGTCATAAATGTGAATAAACGGTGCGATACATAAAATTTACTATAATTTAAACAAATTTAGTGTATATTTAAAGTATCACGCTCTCGATAAAACAAAAATTAATCACAATCAAGTATTTGGTAAATTATTACTCTGTTCCGGTAACTGAAAAAATCTATTAGTATTGCAATTTTTTTCGATATCATAAGGGCAATATCGGTTATCGTAGTAAAAAGTTTTAGATTCTTGCAGTTCTGTAACAGATCATATAGCTATGTTCATAAACTCGAATTGAATTTATAATATGGAAAATAATCATTTATATTTCAATATGTATGCCTTTTAAAATGCGATTTCTTCTATAATTATTTATTACTATTATCATTGACATTATTATGATTATGATTATTATTATAATTATTAAATTCATTCCCACAAAGAGAAATAAATTTAAATTAAATTTTTTAAATAAACATAAATTACCAAAATTTTTACAAAGCAAAGTACCGAAGACGATTCTTCTCTACAATAATACTACATAAGACTTGCCCTTTCAACAGTCGTTTTCGTTACACTCTAATAATCGTTTCTAAAATGTATGTATACAACAAGCAAATATATTTGCTTTATTACAGAATCTATTTTTAGTGATTCGTACATTTGTCAATTGAGCAGACGGTTTAAAAATAAAAAAATCACTCGAACAATAAACACACTAATGTTAAAAAGTATGCCTCTCTATTGGAAAAAAATGAACAGAATTGTTTGAGTCTGATATTCCAACCAATATATGCAGAATCAGATCGAATAAAGTCGTTTGTAAAGACAACAATAATATTGCTGAAATCTCAGAAAACTATGAACATTCTATTTAACCTATTTAAATATGTTATCCTGTCTACCTTTACAATATAAGACATATTATTCCTATAAATCCATGGATTTTGAAAACTTTTACGTACCATAAGAATATTACATCATTGTATATGCGTGAAATCAACAGTTTCTTTTGTTGTTCGGATACAACCACATCAATGTGTGATAAGGAAATTAATTTATACACAGCAACAAGACAAATATTAACGACAGTGGTTTACTTGAGATTGCTGTACACACATACTGCGCATTATTACATTTCAAAGCGGGAGGAATGAACTTTAACGTCATTGTCCATGCAGCAAAAATATTTTTATACATTGATATTTCGATTTAAGATTTTTAGACGTCCTTGTTTCTTTTTTGCGTGGACATGGACAAGGTCGCCACATTGCAGATTAGACATTTGACGATTTTTTAACTGTTCATAATTTATGCTTTGCTGTTGTGCACAAGAATACCGCCATGATTGATGGATTAGTGTAGGAACAAAATGCTGATATATTTAGCTATAAGACGTGACGTATTGACATATACTCTATATTCACGAGAAACACATTCAGTTCTGGCGAATTCCAATATCGTTTAATAATTTATTAAAAAATATGAAAGCATATCCAGAAATTTAAATTAAAATAAAAATTAAAAAAAAAAACTGAAAGTCGCTTTACTTTTATTGTTTGATCATGACAGAATGCAGTTCTACACATATTAAAGAATGATGGTCATCACCTTACCAATGTATGAAATTCTATAAGTATCAATTGTTATTGCTTTAGACAAAGACATAAAACTATAAAGACTGGGCAAAATGCATATGGGCTTTAATTTTTGAATCAGGTAATAGATGGCAGGAGAACAAAACAGAAATGCATTACAAAATTTTAGAAAAATATGTTATTCATATATCGCCGAAAAATGGCGGAAATACGCGGAAAAAAATATCAGCTATGATAGACATGCTCTCAAAAATCTATTCCAGAGCATTTTCTTGTACATTGTATCGATAAAAATCAACAACAACCCTTAAAAAGTGTCAGCTCTGTTAACTTATAACATAATTCTATGTCACGATATCGTGATATAACATATTTTTCCACTACCAACGCCATCTATTGAAGAAAAGTGAAAATGTAATGTCGCAACTTATTATATTATATGTCTTTGCTTTAGAGCCGGGTAATATAATAATTCAAATAAAACTTTTGGATAATGCTTAAAATGCATTCCTAAATTGCTTAAATATGACAATTTTCTCGTCTTAAACGCCGTGCAATAGACGACAATTTTACTCAAAATCGCTAAATGCATCCAAAAGCCATGAAATTTCATGTTAGATGTTTTAAATCTATGAATTTTTTTATGGAAAAATAAAAAAAACTATAATTAAAAAAATCTGTGTATTTTTAAAGTACCTGTCATCTCATTTTGGTAAGCTTTCCATTTATACTTGTAGTTATCCCTTAGTGTTTGTATTTTAATCCGAACCATTTTTAAGCATTTCGAGTTTAAAATGAAAACGATTATAAGAAAAAAGCCAAATTACAAAAGTTTGATTTGCTAAGTAGTAGAAAAAGAGCCATTAAAATTACCAAAAAGATTCTTGCAATTAAAATGATCTAGGGTGAGATAAAAAAAAACTGCAACAAAGTAAAACGCCATATTTTTTTTTTTTGAATGAAAGCAAGAAATATAGGAAACAGCGTCAAATTTTAGCTTTGTTCGAATTGGTCATCTTTGGCACGAATTATGGCCTTCAAGCTGCCAATGAAACCGTCACAAGCTGTCCGAATGTTGCTCTGGTGAAGCGAGGAACCTCATTTTCTTACCATTCTTGGGTGGCGCGTGCTGAGTGCGATGGTGCTGAGTCGTGTTGGAATGTCCAAGGTCTGCGGCCCACACCATCACCATGGCCGGCGCTGGAGTTCTGGTGGCCAACCGAAGGTACACATTTTCGGCTGACCTCTTTGGCAAGTAAACACTACCGTTTTGTTTGTTTACAAATTGCTGGACAACGAATGTTTTCGCATAGGAGAAAACCAAATTCGGCAGTTCACCCCTTTCGGCCAAGCGAAGCAACTCTTTAGCTCTTTTGAGTCTATTTTCTTTCTGTTGCGGTGTAAGTACTTGGACTTTTTGGAATTCCAATGGCTTTACTGCGAGCTCATTTTTCAATATTTACCGAATGGAATATTGCAACATGTTCAGCTCACGAGCCATTTTTCGGCCACCACGACGCGGGGTTCAATCAAGACGCTTCTTTATAAAGATTTATTTACATTTAAATGCTGGAGTGCTGTAACGATAGCCACTTGTGGTTTTCCACCCAAATATAAAGAAATCACACTATCACGCTTGAATTCCATCACGAATAACTTTTTTTCTGGAAAATTCTCCCCAAAATGCTTTTGTGCAATGAAATGAACTGTCACTGAAATAATTTTAGCAGCTGTCGGACGAGTGGCTTAGTATTGACAGCAGTCTGAAGTTGCTTGCAGTTTTTGCATCTCACCCTGTAATCCAAAATAGTAAGCATAGTAGCTGACCACAAAACTTGCCTTGGTCAGAAACGAGATACATTGTATGCTCTAAATTATAATTTTTTATTGGATATACCTGCACCAATGAACGGATTCAAATGACTAAAAGAGCAACAGACATTATCTCAAAAACAGTTAAATGGCAAGGGTAGTGAAGAGTGAATGAAATTACTATAGATTATATGTTTAATGTAAAGGTTTTTATTTGTGAAGTGAAGAAAGCATAAACAATTTTATTAAACGCCAGAAGCCAATTTCTATTTATTAACACTCACAGCTTTTCTACACTCTCCCACAATGGATCACATTGTTAAAATGCATGGATGGCAACCAATCTGAGATTATATATTTTGTTGAATAGTATTTTTAGATTTTCGCTAAATATTGCTAATTACTCTTAACAATGGAAACCATTTTTGCGGAGAACAACAAATAAGTAAATAAAACCCACTAAACGGCTATTGAGTACCATGAAAATGGTTGCTTGCTGTAGCACGTTTGAAATACATATTTGTGTGAGCTAATATTTATTATCCCAATCACATGATTCCACAAAAAATGATAAACGTCAGAGATTTTAACATAAGTATTAATCAAATCAGTAAATTGGTCGAATAGGGCTAAATGCCCATAATTAGAGTTTTGCCAAGACCCGGGATTTATTGCATTTGGAAATGTTTGCATGTTTGTTTGTTTCGCATTTATTTTTAAATAAAGTAATTCTTCGTATACAGTCGAACACGGTTATAATAAATTTTACATTTTTCATTACTTTATGTATGCAAACAACATAAATACATAAAAAATAGTTTTACAACTCTATATATTTTGTACCCTATAAGATTGACTCTTGAAAAAGAGTCAAACAATTGAGCAATATTAATGACTTCATATGCCATAGGTTTCACTGTATATTTCTTTAGTTCCATTTCAAGTGAACTATATGGTTTGTTCACACACTGCGACATCTATAACCAGCCGCACGGATACGTTTTTTTAGGTGCCAATGTGTCTAGATAATAAATGGTACTACCAATTGTGTACTGACTGTAGAAAATAACTTTATTCAACTAATCCAGTTCCATCAACCAGGTGTTTTCAATTCTATCTGCATTGAAATCTAAGTCACATTTTCTAATTACTTAGAAATAAAGGTAGTTTATACTTTTGTAAAATGCTCTTGTCATTGCCTGGAATTGAGGAACGACGAGCAGAGTCGTCGGTGCTGTACGCGACAAAGATATTTTGGCGAACGTGGAAACATTAACAAATACCGCTGTATTGGAATCATGGAAAATGAATGGAATGGTATTCAACTGAAACGTTAACTGAAAGCGAGGAGGGCACTAAGCAAATCAGGCGTTCACATTGAAATTAACACCTTTTTATTATTGTTATTCTCACTTGCCTGTATTCGCCGGTAGCTGTGTGGTGCGTCATTTAGAGTAATTTCGTAAAATGAACTTGTAGTTTTTTTATTTAGCTTTTATATATTTCGTCCAAAGGAATCAACGGCTTTAGTTCATTGTCAGGTATTGTCGATATCGCTAAATATTCGTACAACGCTCTGTCGTCGATATTTGAAATTTTGTTCCATACAAAATTTTAAAATCGCCAGAAAAAGTGATTTAAATGGTTTTCGACGTGCAAATTATCAGTTATTTCGTGAACTTGTGGAATTTTAGCATAGGCTCAAGAGTAGTAGGTTCGTAACACCACACTCTGGTCACATCTCTCACCCACCAACATCGGACGTTTCTAACCGGGTGTTCCAGGTGAGAGCCGCAGTGGATAAATAACTATTGGCCAGAATGCAGTTTCTATTCTTTGGATGTTTTAAACCAAGTATGTAGTTGATTTGTTTGTAGTATGAAATTTGTGCATATAAAACGTTGTATTGCATAGAATGCCGTTAAAAAAAAAAAAAAAAACAAATAATTTTTAGCATTCTATTTATTAGAAAAGAAAAACTCGTGCTAAAATGTTTGAATTGATTGATGTAATGAAACATTTTTGTTGTTAGATCTCGTTCGTAATAAAATAAGTGATAATTTTACATTCTGACGAGTTTTTAGCAATAAAATATTTTATGAATACGGAATATTTTGTAAAATGAGACGTTAAATCATGTGATAAAGATAGATCTGAATTTCGTGTAAAACTAAACATGAAAATGCGATATTTGTATATTCATCTCCTTGCCACTTTTTTTTTTTTTTGGCAATTTTCAATTTTTTAACCAATGAATGGTAACATCAGTCATTTTTAATAGGTCGAAAGGTCAATAGACATTATTAAAATATAATAGCTTCCCTTTGCACAAAAATATGCTCACCAAAAAAAAAAAAAAAAAAAAAACATGGAAAGTTTTTACCTTTTGCAATGTGTTTTCACTTGTGCGAAATATGCGTTTTTTAGTCTCCCAAAAAATATATATTTGAATATAATATTAAACTTTCGGCAATTTTCGCATTCTTTTTTGTTTTATTTTTTATACATGACAATTTATTTTTAAATAAATATTTCTTGTCGCCTAATATATATAGATGTGTATGTGTACGAAATTAAGGCATTTGAAAAAATCTATGTCTTTGAGTTTTTGGCGACAAAAAGACGTCATTTTGCATGGATGCGTTTAATGAAAACAAACAAATCATTATTTAGTATTTGAAGGGAAATGTGTTGATGTGTGAATGAGAATTTATGCATATAACTGCGGTTTTTGAAGAGAGTAACTTAAGTCGACTTGTAAAAAAAAAAAACAAAAGTATTTCAATAAATATACCGCATAAAACTATGTGTTTCGGGGTATAATAAGAATAAGTGAAATGTATAAAACCTCGAAATCTTGACGAACGTAGTCGATCTAGCCATTTGTGTCCGTCCGCCTGTCTCTCCATGTTAATTTGTAATCAAACCACCAGTCGCGGGGTTAGGGGCAGAATAGAAGCCAAAAAATGGAGATGATCGCAATATATTTAGAGGATGAAATGGACCAGAACTATAATTGTAGACTAATCGAGTTTAGAACAGGATCATAACTTTTGTATGAAATTAATATTGAATAATATTGAATTTGAAATAATATTGAATATGATCTTGACCTAGTTTTAATATTCCGTCTACTTAAAACCTAGAATATGTGTCCCGGAAATTATATTTTAATAGCCTCCCGTACTAGACTTGTCATTCCGTTTGTATTCGAGATTTCATCTGAGTAACTATAATGTGCATACATATGTAAATATTCACGACCAAAACAAAATTCTTAGTTTATTTAAACTGGAATCAATTAAGGTAATTTCATTGAAAAATAGAATAAAACCCTTTAAAAACACCTAAAACCAAACGGGACTGTGTGTCATTCTCATGTGTCCTTTCATACATTTTCCAATTCAAAACGATCGTATATAGTATATTAAACAAAACATAGATCAAATTGCTAAAGACAAATAACAACATCCGTTTGTTTAAAAAATTTAAGATTTTATAATATGTACTTAAAAACCTATAATCGAATTATACACAGGTATCTAAGTATTTGTCTTCCATACCACATGCGTTTTATTTGGACAGATGACGAAATTCTAAGAATATATATCTGGTTAGAGTAGGAGTATAATCAAATTCAAATCAAAATTAGCTACAAAGTACATGACCGTATTTTGTTTATGTCACGACTTTTAGACTGTTAAAGGGAATTTTGAAAAGCACTTCTAAGACAATTTGTGCCGACTGTGTCGGCGCTTATCCACAAGTACTAGTTGCTTCGTGTGCTTTTTTTGGCATTTGTTTGTTTGTTTATATTTTTTCATTCTCACCTAATTTCCCCCTATACTCTCGCTCTCACTTGCTCTTTCCGCGTTGATAAATAACGACCGTAGCAACAGAGAAGTGAATACACCACGTAGATTGCGTACATTGGCACTTGGACGACGTGTTCAACTTATTCTCTCGGGAATTCTCTCAGCGCTTATTGTAATTTTATTGATGCCAGATTTCCCGATCCGCTTTGGTATGACATCTCTACTTTCTGAATAGGCGATGCAATGTAATATCTTATAAATAAATATAGACCGGAATTTAAATATTAAATAGTACGTTAACATGACTCAAGATGTAAAGAACAAAAAAATATTTCATTTTATTTATGGAAGCTGTCAAAAATGTAACATTTTATGTGTGGTGTGGTGTAAGGTACCACACTGTAGTAGGGAATTATGTTGCACTTATTGCCAGAATGAGATGAAATCTTGTGCAAATCATTTGGCCTAAGGGCACACCCTATTGAAATTGGAGATAATCTGTCAAAATTTAGATATAGCTCCCATATATATTTTCGTCCCATTCGCCTCTTATTGTGCACCAAATGTGCAATATTATTCCAAATAACATGGAATTTGGCATATACGATCAAATTGAGCCCAAAAAGAAGTATGAGATTGGTGAAAATCAGTTCAGATATAGCTATAGATCCCATATATATTGTTCATATGCACTCCGTAACAACGATATTCCGGAAAATGGATATAATACAGCTCAGAAATACATTTGCCAAATTTTATCGAGATCAATTCAGATTTGGATAGAGCTCCCATATATATCTTTATCGGATTTCACATTTGCCTAAAATCGGATGGCCTGTTCAAATCGGATGGATTTTGATTGATATTGATAAAGACACTAATGCCTCCGTCAAATTGGGTAGAAATCTTTTCAGAGATGGATATACCCCCATAATTGGTTAATTTGCACATTAAATTATAACTGCTTAAAGCCAGAGTAGGCATTCAAAAACTTAATAGTTGATATGATTTAATTCCCATAAATTCCCCATAAAAACGTTTATTTGCCTTTCTTCGCTGGCTACTTATAGTTTTAAACAAGGCTTAACAGGAAGACCACTTTTCACAACGATTTGACAATAATCTAAAGGTGAGAATACTTACACGTTTTTTGACTGGCTTAAGACCAAAAAGGAAAGTAGGGCCATAATCGAACTAAGTCAACCTAAAACTCCCTTGTTCCTCTACCTAAAACTCCGTTGTTCCTCTAAGTTTTATGTACTCTCACCTTTCCTAGATTTTGCACTTTTGTGATTTGACTTTCTTTGAATTTCAAATCACAATTGTGTTTTTGATAGCAAACTTTGTTGTCAGATGGGCTTTCTGGCCGACCTTGTATAGGCCTTGGTTTTAAAGTTCCATTGCTCAATGTTTTAAAGTGGTGTATGACATTTATCGCTTCCAAAATGCCGTTATCAAATCCTTTAAATATGTTTTCGTTTGGGATATGTATTTTTAAGTTTTATGCCGTCAATATCACAAATAAACATACTAATATGTGTTTCAGATACAGCAGTAACAAAATTAGTTTCAGTGGCACCATAAATAAAGCCGGTATTCAACTTATTGCTCGTTATAAATACACACATGTTATATGGTTGTCAAGAAAAATTACAATTATATTAAATTACAATTATTACAATTATATTACAAAATTACAATTATATTATATAATATTCCACGTGTCATCGTTATCGTGAAGGGACTGAGGTCGACCATGACATGGCCTCCATCCCATAGTAAGAAATCGGTAACTAAACCTGATATTCGTTGAAGCGCCCAGGTAGCAACGAAGCTCCGCTAGAATACAGTCAGTACCCTGATACTGCTGATCTGCAACACTAATGTACCCGTGGTCGCACAACGACCTAGCGTTAGGGGGTACTCTTTATGTTTTAGTATTTTAGGGGCACCGAAGCATCGCCTCATCAGTCTAAGGGTTATTGACACTTGGGTATTTAAGCCGAGACTCTTCCCCAGACCCGCTGACTGCCCGCATTCGCAACTGCTCAGCATATCTACTTGGTTTTCCAATACCAGCAACCTGTGAACGCGTCCCGTAGCAATCAGCTATGCTCCCCGAAGGCGGAAAGTCTGAAAAATTACAATCTACCGTTGTAAATAAAAAATTTTTTATCAAAATTAACTTGGGAACAATCCACATTTTCAAAACCGAATTTTTGATAGGGCGCACAACAAATTAGTTGTCAGTAAGTAACATTGATATAAGACGATTTAAGGCATTTCTCAAGACAAATATTTTCACTTGAATTGTACATTTTTTAAATTGTTCTATATATCTGGCATCCCGCAAAGCTACCAACTTTCATACGAACAGATTTTAGCGCCCCATCTCTTTTTATTGCCGCTCTACTACTCAGCCAGCAGTCGGTACCTCTCGCTTTGGTAAACATTTTGCGCACATCGTCGTGGACATTTATTTTTGTTTGAGTGGCTGATGACGTGTGTATGTGCAGAGTGTGTGTGAATGTCGTGTATCTCCGACCATAACAAGCTAATAATGTTGACTTATTTAGTTGCTAAAAGACGGTTCGAGTGGCTTAACGTCAATACTGAATACGAAAAAATCTTCGGAAGCGCTGTCATCGTCGTCATCGCAGATGCGCGCTAGTATCCCCCACAAAACTTTTCATTAGCAAATTAATTCGTAACTCAATTAAAAAATTCTTTTGACATTTAGAATAATTGTTTTGACTCGGTGAAAAAGTATAACCCGCTGGAATTTGTAACGAAACAAAATTTCAAAATGTGCAATTTGTAATCATCGACTCAAAAGAAGAGAAGAAGACGACGAAATAAAACCGGGAAAATGTAAAAATTATTTTTAAAACCACAAATATGCAATTATAATAGTTTCATCCGCCGCTATTTAAATGTGAATTTCGTCAAATGGAACTGGTACCCTGAATGGTTTTTAGCTTTTCGTTTAGATCGTGGTGAAAGTCAAGTTTGTGGAATGGTATTGTTATTGAGATCGCATCGTAAAAACGGAATTTTAAATAAATCCGTTATCATCATTGTTGTTATAAAATCAATAATGTCTCGAATATCTATTTTAAAAAAACGTTCACGCATTTTCGCAACAGCATAGCACTGTTAGGTGTTTTCTGAAAGCTATTCAAAATCTGCGGTTTCAAAAATCTGTCTTCCCAATTTGTGGGTTAATTGTTCGTTATCGTTATGCTGTGTTTTTAAATTTTGCATATTTATTGATTAATTGGTGTTTACATTAAGATCTTATTTGGTACGTACGATTATGTTCGTATGTATGAGTGTGCGTTTATATGACGACCAGTAAACTATTGTCATCGCCAAGAAACACAGGGTTTCAATCTTACCTTAAGAGCTTACGATAATTTTAAACCAAATTACAAATGCCTAGAATTCAGAATAAAACAGATTGCAAAGCACTAAATCGATGTGTCAAAATTCCCAATCTGGACGTCTTTCAAATTTGAACAACTTCATAATTTAAAAAATATGTTTGTTTTTGTGTGGAAATTTCCAATTGTTTTTACACATGAAAAATATACTTATTTGAAAATGGTGATAATTTTATTTATTAACAGATGAGTTAATTTAAACACCGCCTTAAATAAGACGTGGTATTTCTTTCTCAATTACGATTAATTTCCACAATTCATATACAGTTTTGACTGTTACGGCAAAAATTCTTTTTTTTTATTTGGATTGTTTTTTTAAGATCTTCTGAGGTTTGCGGTAGAATGGGAAAGTAGGGCAGAGGCTTTAGGCTGGGTTAAGAGACTTATCAGGCATGGGGATAAATGGCTTGGTTTAAGGATGTGTAACTATTTTTAAAAGCGAAAAAGAGTGCGGATCTTTACTTATGCCAAATAGTAAATCAAAATGAAGCGAAGTTCTTTTTATTTAATTGCAGACAAGCTCATACCAAGAAACTTATGTAGCGATTTTTACAAAAAAATTATCATTAGCCATATCCACGCATGAAAAGTTGTAAGAAACATCCTCCTTGTTTTAAAATTTCCCACCATTTTGCAGAGCTGAAATTTTTAGTTGCAGTAATTCCTTAGTTACTTAGGTATTAATACTAAAACTGCCGAATATACTGATACATGGTGAGGAGCAATCGTCCTATCATGTTTTAAAATAATCCCAAACCACTTTCCCACTGCAAAGCCGCACACATCGATAGATATGAATACCACAACTTTGCTGTTTTACGTAAATGCTTGATAAAATGTGGTCTCTGCCAAATGTAAGCATGGTCAGTTCCCGGTTAAACCACAGATAACCGGTTAATAATCATTGCCAATATTAGTCGATTAAATTTAGACCAATAAGACTGTCAATATTCTTCCTTCCGAAAGGAGAAAATCAACATAAATACATTCGCATGTATGACGGTTAGATTGAATTTCATAACGTGCCGACATTATATTTTTAACGCCCTTATACTGCCCGTTCATTGTTGCTTCGTGATGTTTCGTTTGTCCGCCAATTCGTCGCTGGTTGCTATGCTGATAAAAAATAAACATTTTATTTAAAAAAACGCCAACTACCAAACCTATCTTTTTTTACTCCTCTCCAACCGGTCATCAGATTCAATTCAATTGAATTTATTTAAGCAAAACGAAAAAAAAAATTGATTAAATTCCATGCGAGGAGAAATTCACAAGAACACTGTAGTAGGTGAATAACATTCCGAGGTGGAGAGATTTGAAATATATGTTTGTATGTTATATCGTTTCATAATTTGCACACGCAGACACCAGAAATAACGCTTTCTTTCACTCGTTCACACTGCATTCGTGGTGATGGGAATATATAAGTATGTACATTCATATGGACATACATACATACATTTTGGTGTGAATAATATTTTTTCTGTTAGCGGTTGGTTTAAACTTGTTTAGTAGTAGCATGATGTTTCTTGGTACTTTTTATCTTTTGTGCATACAGTGTGTGACCAAAGTATCCACACACACAAGTCAATAGTCCAGAATTTTATATTCATAAGTCACATGTTAATAAAAGCAAATGATTAACTACCGACAAATGAGGCAAATAATTTGGGAATCTATAAAGGCGGTAATTGAAAATAACGAGACGTGTTGATCCACCAACAGCGATACAATAAGAATGGATACAAGTCCAATACATGGTAAACATGGTCATTTTTCCATTATTGTGTGAGAGAGTCAACTCTTTGAATTATATTTTTGCTTATTGGACGACTTTATGTAAGCCGTGTTACAAAGTTTAGTGCCAAAATACATAATTATGACTTCAAATACAAAGAAATGACATTAGTTTTAAAGCTACTACGTTTGTCGTCAAAAATTATTCTTCTTTTTCCGATCCCCGACTCCCCGGTCCTTAGAAAAACTTAAGATTATCTGTGTAGTACTTCCATGGTAGAAGAACATAGGTAGATGCATCAACTCTTGGAAACATTTATATGTCAAACGTTTTGAAATGTTTTTCTTTTCAAAAATAAGAATATTTTTATATATTTTCTTATACGAAGCCAATCGGAAATTTTAATGATATTTTTTAACAACTTTTACAAATATGAATAACTTTTCATTCAAAATTAAAAATTTTTAATTTCAAATATAGTTTAATAGGTCATTGTCCCAGTAGTTGTGTCGATGCGACTACCTGTATTCTTCTACCATGGTTCTTTCGGTTCACCATGGATAGAAATTGACTGCATTTTTGATGATACTGTATATACTTCATCGATATGAAATATTAATTCGATTTAGCTATGTTAGTCTGAAGAAGTTGCTTTAATGCTTTAAAGTTTTCTGATTTTCGTACTTTTGAAATTGCAATCAAATTCTATTCAAGTTATATGTAGCTTAGCTCTTTCGGTGATTAGAAACCCTCAGAATTTGGAGATTTAAAATCAATTCAAAATTTTTTACCAGTATTTGCTCCCGAAATTTTGAAGCGTTTTCGTACGGAACACATTCAATGTATACCCTTTCTGGTTATTACAAATAATAATATTAAGCAGCACAGTTCGCCCGCGGTGGACCGTTAAAAAGAAATGTAGAGTTATTATTTTAACATAAAAACATGATCTAGAAGTTTTTTCATGGACTAGTAATAATTTGTTTTTGTGTTAATGTCGACAATTCGCATTAGCGTGTAACAATATCCACTCATACATATATACACACGTGTTTACAGCCCTGGGGGTAATTGACCTCTAACGCATTGATTTCTATTGAGCATGGAAATAAATGTAAACAATTAAATTACCAAATCACCCGTCAGCTTATACTCAGTGAGTGTTTTGTAAAAAAAAAAAAAAAAACAGAACAATAATAATTTTAAGTTTGAAATAAAAAACTTTTATTGCATCAGGAAAATTATTCGAACATTTTGTTCGTACCTAATTTCAATGTAAATTCTACTGATCTGTTGTCAATTCTAGACATAATAAAAAAAATCCGACCAACAAGTTATGCAAAATATAAGCTCATTCGGTACCGTCGTATATACAATGTTGTACAAGAACAGAACAACGAAAACGCATATCGAACATTAAAATCGCGTTTTTAGTAATATTTCATTGAGACCATTGAAGTTCAAGGTGAAGATCATTTTCCGCGACTGCGGCATCGTGTAAGCCATTCTCGATGTAGGTATATGCAAACATACATATGCTTGTACATACATAGTTGCAGTCGAATAGAGATGACAACTAGTCTGTCGTATTCGTTATGGGCAGAATACGTTATTGGCTGACTTCTCCCGTCCCAGCCCCCCATGTCCCTTATATCAATCCTCGTGTATCGCATTGTTTTGCGCGATTTTATGTTTACAACGACTTTTCTCAATGAATGGGCAAGTTTTAGAAAGGCGGAGCCGCCGGATGTTTTGTTAGTTTTCGGTACAGCTGATTCGGTTGTCGATACGAGCAAATGATAATGACCGCAATTAGCTATTTTTAGAAATGGAAAAATTTAATTAAACCAGAGATTACAATGGCAACCGGTCGCAATTGTGATTACGGCAGAGTATATGTATTCTTCCCCGCTTATTATACATACATTGAGCTTTTTCTACTTTTACGCTTCTTCTTCAATCCCCACATCGACAAACAAATGTTCGATTCCCAGGTTTATGTACATTTGCTGCAGTAGCAGCAGTGAGGCAAATGTAAATCGACATAATTTCACTCTTTCCTTCTTCTATTTTTATCTGAATTTGTTCTGTATTTTACCCTTATCGAATTTTTGTTGTTGTTTGTGCTCTTATCGAATATCGCGGACAGACAGACAGACAACAGGTTCGAAGAGATAACATGAAATAATTTTTAAATTAGTCACAGTTTCATTGTTAAATAGTAGCGCATACCTATCCCCCAGCAACTTTTGTTTACGAAGAATTCGTAGCTATTAAAATAAAAACAAATCTGGCATTTGTGGGCTCCCGTCTGCCGCACTTATCTTAGTATTTTCTTTCACATACGATTCTCCAGGCATGGTTTGTGGCTGGATTTCACCACTTGAGTTAATCGAAGAAATCCACACCTTGGCAGTAAATTCTTCTTGAAATTTAGTTCAGTTGATGTTGGCCAAACCCCGTCTATTTCTGTACCAGTTTAATTTGATTTTTTTATTGCTTAAACTTTGAAAGCGGAGAAATCATAGAAATTAGAAAGCTGGTTGACAACATACAAAGTACCTAATTTGCTATAATATCGGATATTCTATAGAAATTCATTTAAAAAAACCGCGTTAGTGACACCACTAAAATAAAATGTTCAATTTAATAAAGAAAAAACAAATGTCTGAAATCTATGAAAATCCGATATCTCTTGGCAAGGGATTTTGGTGTCGACCAAAGAAAATAATAAATATTGTACTTTTATGTTAAATCATATTCCTACAGAGGTTTTTTCTCTACTTTACTTTTCCAGAAGTCGCGTTCTTCACAAAACAACCGGGAATATTTAAATTCTGTTTGGCGGCACCAAAATCCAGAAGTAGTTACATCACCAATACCGAAGGAAGCTGCAGTGCTGCTACTAGAACCCAAGAGATTCTACAAGAGATTGCAGTCGACGAGTCGGATATAAGCACTGACCAAACTACAGCAACCTACAGAGTTTTTGGCGAGGAGAACGTTCCAATAGAAACGCCCAGGCCAACACTAGCTCAAGGAAAGGAAGAAGAAGAAAAACAATTCTATCACAACAGTATAGATGATTTCGTGGTTATAAATCAGCAGCCTTTGAGTAAGAACTCGTCATTCGCCAGTAAGGATTCTAGCCTTTACTCATTAAACATTGGAGAGAGTGATTTTCAAAAGCCAAAGTCATTGACAGCGCCGCCACGTTTGGAGGGAAATTTTCGAAATTCATTGAACGACTTACTTCTGGCATCAAGGCGTTCCGAATATCTACAAAACAGTAGCGTGTCGATTGATTCATCCGGTGGAAAAAGTACAAGTAAGGCGGCTAATAAAGTCACTGACACCGAAGTAGGAGAAACTAGTATCATGTCAGCTTCAACCGCAACTAATAGCGCCGGAGGTGCTTCAGCAAGCGACAAACAGCCCTGGCCCAATTCAAAAGATGACTATGAACTTAGGGATGTTATTGGCGTCGGCGCCACTGCTGTTGTCCATGCAGCGCTTTGCATACCACGCAATGAGAAATGCGCTATTAAACGTATTAATCTTGAGAAATGGAACACCTCTATGGATGAACTGTTGAAGGAGATTCAAGCGATGTCATCGTGCAATCATGAGAATGTCGTAACCTACCACACTTCGTTTGTAGTGAGAGAAGAATTGTGGCTTGTCTTGAGGCTGCTGGAGGGTGGATCCCTTTTGGACATTATAAAACATAAAATGCGGACAACTAATTGCAAAAATGGAGTTTTTGACGAGGCCACTATTGCTACTGTGCTCAAAGAGGTGCTGAAGGGCCTGGAGTATTTCCACTCGAATGGACAGATACATCGCGACATTAAGGCCGGTAATATTCTTATTGGTGATGATGGCACCATCCAAATTGCCGATTTTGGTGTAAGTGCCTGGTTAGCAACTGGTCGGGATTTGTCCCGACAAAAGGTGCGCCACACGTTCGTAGGCACTCCCTGTTGGATGGCCCCCGAAGTTATGGAGCAAGATCATGGCTATGACTTTAAAGCTGACATTTGGTCATTTGGTATAACAGCCATTGAAATGGCCACGGGCACAGCTCCATACCACAAGTACCCACCGATGAAGGTGTTGATGTTGACTTTACAGAACGATCCACCCACTTTAGACACAGGATCGGAAGAGAAAGACCAGTACAAAGCCTATGGCAAAACATTCCGCAAGATGATTGTGGAGTGCCTGCAAAAGGAACCATCGAAACGACCAACAGCTGCCGAACTGTTAAAAAACGCTTTCTTTAAGAAGGCCAAAGATCGGAAGTATTTGACTCAAACTTTGCTAGCGTCTGGTCCTTCAATGGAGACTCGTGTGCATAAGGCAGCAAAACGCCAGCCTGGCCAGTCTGGTCGTTTGCACCGCACTGTTACCGGAGAATGGATGTGGTCGGATGAAGAAGACGAAGGAAAACGACATTCGTCAGACTCCGAATCCGACGAACGGCCCGTTAACCGATTAGAAAGAGCCGATTCTTCCGATAGTGATCGGGAAGATCCATCAGAACACACTGAACCCACTGCCTCCGTATCTGCTCCCCAACATCAGGCACAAGCCTCACAAAATCAAACTGCGCAAACACAGGTAGTGCAACAACCACAAACTCAAGGTGGCCTGCCACAATCGCAGCAATTTGTACAACAGTCGCATCAGGTGCAGGATGCCATTATGCAACAACAGCAAATACAACAGTCACCTGCCGCAATGTCACCAAATTCTGTAGCACAAGCCACAGAAGCAATGGCACAGATGCCACTACCATCGATTGATGCAAGTGGTGCTGGAGCCGATGCTCCGCCAGTTAACCTTGTCTTGCGCATGCGTAACGTTCGTCGTGAATTGCATGACATTCGTTTCGAATTTGCCGTGGGCAAGGATTCCGCTGAAGGTATTGCTGCTGAATTAGTTGACGCCGGCCTAGTAGATCCTCTTGACACACAACCAATGGCTATTAATCTGCATCAGTTAATCGAACAGCGACATGCCTTGAAAACTGTAACGTTCCAATTAAATTCAGGGGTACAACCAGGTGAAGTACCCGATGATCGCTCGCTGGTCGGGTTTGCTCAAATATCAATTACAGATTAAAAGTAGTCTACTTAAGAAGAGAACCACTACAATATAAATTTCAAAGGAGCTTCAGACATCCCCCAAAACCTTTTACACAGACACAAACACGCCGCCACCATCACAACACCACTCTTCTCAATACTAATGAAGCTGAAGTCCAATTCGCTACCATTCGTATTCAAAGCGAGAAGAGCATTCTGTTAGAGTCTTGCAGCACTCTGCACCATTATCAACTGAAGCCAACACAAATGTTAAAGGGATTAGGAGTTGCCTTCTGTCTCCCTCCCATCCAGTACTATCTCATCCGCTGTCTTTGTGACGTGTTGTATTTTTCATGTTTTGGGGAACAACGAATCCAAATAAATTGCAAACAATAAACGCTCTACTCTTCGGTATGACTCCAACGAATTCATGTCATATGTGCGTAATTAATCGTTAAATTGATTTTACTATGTAATTATTTATAAATATTAATTTTAATTTAAATGTATTGTTGTTTCTTCTTTCTTCATTTTTTATTGATAATGATACTGATTCCCCGAAATTACAATACGATACGATATTTAGCTAAAACATATACATAAATACAAATACAACCAAATAGATTAATTGTGTAATTAATAAGTACTTATGATTCGTTTATATATATTATATAGAAATAATTACTTGTAATTTATTGAAACTTCTTCTTTAAGAGAGAGTATTTTTAAATAAAAATCACATTTAAAATTAAACGAAAGGTGCATAACCGATTGCTGGCAAGCTAAAAAACAAAAAAACCATTTACTTTGTGGGAAGAATGACGTATGTTATTACTATTCTTATTATTTTCTTTTTTTATTATATATTTCAGATAATTTGTGGTAGTAGCTTAAATTGTTTTCGAAGATCTAAAAACTTCAATCCATGAGCTTACACTAATGTTACTGAACTACGTCAAGCCTATGAAATTCAAATTTATACAATTCAATTATGACAGAACTTATCTATATATATATATATAAAATCAAGTGTTGTTCGTTGGTAATGCAATCAGTTGAGAACGGGTGGACCGATTTGAATAATTTTTTTTTAGAAACATTCGTCATACCCCGAGTTAGGTTTTTAAAGAAAAAAATATTGACCACGAATACTTTTACGCCCACTATTACGATTTATCTAAAACCTTATATTTGCCAAAATAGTGAAGATATCGGTTTGAGAATTATTACACGAGATGCTGTTGGCTTTCCATTCAACCCTAAGTACTTATTTAGGGGCTGAGGAACGCGCCTACTTTTAAATATATCTCTCTATATGTAAAAGAAAGTTGTGTTAGTTACTACTCTTATAACATAAAAACCGCCGGTGTGATTTTAACAATTCAGACAAATTCGGAATTGGCTCTTGGCAGAAAAGAATAAAATCCAAAAAAAATCGCGTAAAAATGTGAAATTTGAACATTTTCATTTTGACTTTTAAAATGTACAATAGTAATGTTTTATATTGCCTTTTTTTCTATTTTGACTTACTATTTTCGAATGTACATTTGTAGTGTTTTTTTTTTTTTTTTTTTTTTTGAATTCTAAAATGATGTGTAGGTTTTTTTTGGGTAGTATCATGGTACAATAAAAAGGTGAGGTAGAGCTAACAGCTGATTACAATTTTTTTCTAAATGTGCCCGACATCTGCCAATTTTGTGTATGTATTAATTGCTTTGAAAAATGAAAAAAAAAATATATTTTCAAAACCAATGACTGGAAGACACATGAATTGCGGCTCGCGCTTTAAAGCTATTAACCAGTATAGCCATGAAATTGAAAGATTGAACAGTTAGGATCATATTTTTGAGAGAAAAATCCAGACATTTTATTAATTTTTCGCGCAATTTAACTCATTTTAAAAATGAGGAAAAATATGAAAAAAATAATTTTGAATGAGTCTGACAGGAAGCGGACATAGCCTCAGGGCTGTATTTTTGTAGTTTTACGAAGCTGTTCTACCTCCTTATTGTACCATGGGTAGTATAAAGCCACAACGGATAAAACTGTTATTTATGGATTTTATGTATTTATTCGTAATACCCAAGAAATACATAAAATCTATAAATAAAAATTTTATCCGTTGTCGCTTTATATGAAAATTCTAAAATCGTGAAAAATCGACAATTTTTCAATGGAATCGAATTTCAAAATAATAGTACATTCTACCGACAAACTTCGTAAAGACCTTTAAAAATTTGCCGCAAAAAAAAATCAGCGAACCAGTTGAAGATTCTTTTTCTTTTTTCTATATTGAAGTGTACATTTTTTATTGCTTTGAATTTTGAATGAATAATATTAAAAATGAAATGAGGGCGCAAGACGATGTTAAATGCTTTCTACTCCAAGACCTACATCGTGCTTCAGCTGGAAGATGCGAACACATTTAAACAAACAAAAATGACCGAAGAATCGTTATGGGGTTAATTTCAAAAAGTGGACCTGCTTCTTTCATATGACAATAAATTGTCAAATGAGAACACAAAATGCAAAATACATTAAGACTGCAATCAGTCAAATACCGACTATAAAGAACGCAAAATATAAATTCTACCTAAACATTCAAGATACCGTTAATCGCTTTGGCAGGTCATGATATGGGTCATAACCCCTGATAACGGAACAACCCGATTTCAAGTATATTCTACATTTTAACCATATTTTTCGAACTAATTTTAGCTTATGTTGATAATTTAAGAAGAAACCATCTTTGCAAAAAACTATCACGTTTTGGTATCACCATCATATGATTTAAGGTATTTTCGGCGTCTTGGCAACTTTTTTCATTTTTTGGACCTTCTTTGTTTTTAAGGGGGAAGAAAACCTCTTATAAAATATTTATTTCTCGAAAAAGGGCGCATCTTAGTCTTGAGGCTGGGGTAAAAAACCCTGGGGTAGAAAATCATCCTCCTAATTATCCTCATAGGCATTTATTTAAGTATAGTCCCCACATTAGTATACCCCCAAGTCCACTTTCCCAACCAATGTGTGGTCACAAAAGAAAATTTGGTATTCTATTGCATTTGTAACCCCCAAGAGAATATTGGTTGCGAACGTAGATTTGAGATGTACGTCTATATGAAATAATCTCCGAAATATCAATCTGGAACTCATTCAGTCGGAAATTGTGGCAGAAACATGAAAAAAATACGAAATTATAAAGTAACTTTATTGGATCTCCACCGCACAATTTAAATGACAAACAATTAATGCCCATCTTACGGTAATCGGAGCAAAAGAATAATTTTTTGGCTATTCTGACAACATTCTGCCTTCAATTATGAGGTGGACAAAACTGAATACCACGCAGTACGGAAATACAAATTTCAAATTATAGCTCATTTGAATGCTTTTTACAATATCAAAAATTGAGCTGAATTTTCACATGGGGCTACTACAGATGTTCTTTATCATATAGGTATTTAACACTCAAATTAAAGCCTATAGCGGAAAAATAAGATCAGGCTATTCAAAATATCTAAAACCGACTGTAATTATATTTTTTGCCATGAATATTTAGTCATGGAGTCATTACTCATAATCAAGTCATTACTTATAATCAAAATTGGAGTAATTATAATCGAGTCATTACTTATAATCAAAATTGTGCCGCCTACATAAGTCAGATCTGTGATTTATTATTCGTTAAAGACTAAAGCAAGCCCCACACCTTACAACTGGTCGTACAACTGAGAGAGGTTGTATTCAAGATTGTATCGTTTGTGGCCGGGTTGTACGAAGTTGTGTCTCGGTTGTATGAAAAATCAAAATTGTTTGATATTTGGCATGTTGTACCAACCGATTGTAACGTTTGTGGGTATTTCATTTTCTGCTTTTTTTCGTTGAGACTTTTTTGGAAGACTCCGCACAAATGCGTGATTTTATTGAATGTTATTAAAGTATGCCGGAATTGTGGAATTGCAAAAATGAAAACTATAACAAGTAAAAAAACATTAAGTTCGGCCGGGCCAAACTTTTAATACCCTCCACCCTAGGGTAAAAGAACATTAGAAGAAATGTGGCAAAAAACATTAAAATGCCGAATATCGGGAGGTACCGTTATATAGGGGCTACACCAACACGTGCACCTATAATTACAATGTTTCGCCACACGAACTAGGACCCATTATGACCCACAAATACCAACTTTTACACAAATCAGTGAAAAAATGTGGCATAAATCATCAAAATACCGAATATCGGGAGGTACCGTTATATGGGGACTATACCAGAACGTGGACCTATACATGCAATGTTTTGCCACACGCTCAGGGACCCGTTGTGACCTACAAATACCAATTTTCAGACAAATCCGTGAAAAAATGTGGCATAAATCATCAAAATACCGAATATCGGTAGGTACCGTTATATGGGGGCTATACCAAAACGTGGACCTATACATGCAATGTTTTGCCACACGCTCAGGGACCCATTATGACCCACAAATACCAACTTTTACACAAATCAGTGAAAAAATGTGGCATAAATCATCAAAATACCGAATATCGGTAGGTACCGTTATATGGGGGCTATACCAAAACGTGGACCTATACATGCAATGTTTTGCCACACGCTCAGGGACCCGTCATGACCTACAAATACCAATTTTCAGATAAATCCGTGAAAAAATGTGGCATAAATCATCAAAATACCGAATATCGGGAGGTACCGTTATATGGGGACTATACCAGAACGTGGACCGATATATCTCATTTTCAATACCAACCATCCTAGGGACAATACACACACTTGTGCCAAATTTTCAAATAATGTGGGCTCTATCGTGATTTCAACAGACAGACAGACGGACAGACAGACAGACGGACATCGCTAAATCGTCTTAGAATTTTATGCTGATTATGAATATATATACTTTATGGGGTCTACGACGAATATTTAGAGGTGTTACAAACGGAATGACAAAGTTAATATACCCTCCTACCCATGGTGGAGGGTATAAAAATTAAACAAGTAAAAAACATTTAGTTCGGCCGGGCCAAACTTGTAATACCCTCCACCTTAGGGTAAAAGAAACATTAGAAGAAATGTGGCAAAAACCATAAAAATGCCGAATATCGGGAGGTACCGTTATATGGGGGCTATATCAAA